AAAATAGTAGAGAGCTCTCTTTCTGGGACAGTTTGAGTGCCTGGAAGCAGGGAGTGGACTAGATTGGTATTTCCCAAACAAGTGTGTGGTAACAGAGGAGGCTATCAGATCTCACACTCTGCTGGTGATTTTTTTTTTCCATTTTAAATGGAACAGAGGTGTACTGGCCCACTTACCATGGCTCTTGTTTCCTGTGTGCATGCCTTATCCCAGATAGCCCAGTAAGTCTGGGACACATTAGGATTTGTGGCTGCTTTGGGACTTGTTTAGAAAGACCCATACTGGGTGAGCCCCAAGTCTATACTGATCCCTATTTGATATTAGGCAACCCTTTGGGGAGGGAGTGCTCAGCCAGGATGGGATGGGGCATGTTCACCTATCACCTCTGATATTCAGTGTCATCCTAGTCTCTCTGGGTTCATCCTCAAGGTGGGTGTTTATTTTTTAAATTTTATTGACAGATTTTGTTTTTATGTCATCCACATTTTCCAATGTATCCCTCCCCTCATCCACTCTTGAGTTATCCCTTATAACAGAAAATAAAAAGGAGAAAAAAATTACCAAAAAAGTTTAACACAACTAATCAACACATTAAAATGGTATGACCTTATCTGTAATGTTCCATACCTGTAATTCTCCTCTATTAAGAAGGAAGTTATTTTCTTATCTATCTTCTTTGAGGCCAAGCATGGTCATTACAATGTTATAGAATTCATTTTTAATTGTTTTGTTGTTATTATTTCCATTTACACTGCTGTAGTCATTGTGTATATTATTTTCCTGGTTTGGCTTCATTATTTAGCTTTGGTTTCTATAGGTCTTCCCATGATAAATATTCGTTATATTCCATTCTGTTCTTGAGCCACAACTTGTTTAGCCATTCTTCAATTAATGAGCATCTATTTTGTTTCCAAGTTCTTTGCTCCTACAAAAAGCGCTTCTATAAATACAGTGTTTTGATGTATTTCATTGACTGCCTTGGGACATAAGCCTAGCATTAGAGTTTCTGGGTCAAAGCATATGAACATTTTAGTCTCTTTCTTCATAAAATTCCTAATTGCTTTCTAGATAGGTTGGACCAATTTATAGCTCTAAAATCTCTGCATAAATGTGCCCATCTTTCCACAAACCCGCCAGCATTGACCATCCCTGTCTTTTATCATCTTTGTCAGTTTGTTCCATGTGAGGTGAAAATTCATAGTTGTTTTGATGTACTTCCCTCTTCCAAACATTCATTATTGTAAATGTTTTTAGAAACGCTTCTACAAAGTAAAGACCTTTATATTTCTAAAATTACATAATTGATGGTGATTTTATTATTTGATACTTTTTAATTTAGTTTTTAAAAAACTTAGTCATTTTATTTTTCTTATGCATATTTATATTTGCTAAGATAATAACAAGTCAATAAATATTTATTAAACACCAGGCATAGTTTCTATGCCAAAGCCAATCAATAAACATTTATTAAGAACCTGTGCCAGACACTGTGTTAAGCACTGGAAACGCAAACAAAGGTAAAGTCCTGCTCTCATGCCTCAATTTAGTGTGTTCCCAAATGCAGAGCACAAGCTAGTTTCATGGGAGTAAGAATTTCAACCCTTGAGGACCTTAGAAAGCCTCCTGTACTCCAAATCTCTGGTTAAGTGAATTCCCCAAAGTCTCACAAGCTAGAAAGGTTTTGAGTATAGGCCTAGAGAAATCACATAAATCATCTTTCTATAGTGCTTTAAAGTTTGCAGGCATTTTGTGTAAGGAGTTTTGTATCTAAAGATCATTCTAGTAAAGTGTGGAGAAATTATCACCTAATGTAATGTTGGACATTGAATGATTCTGAGGGGGTCATAATAATTCATGAACCCAACTAAGGGATGGAGGACTTGCAGTCTGATTTAGTGGAGAAAGTACTCACACCACTGAACTCATTATGTTTCTTTCCCAAACCCTTCTCTCTTCCTAACTTGCCTATTACTATTGAAGGTTCCACCATTCTCTCATTCACCCAGGATCAAGAGTGAGATATGTTATCCTCAATTCTTCACTCTTTTTCACCCCCCAGATCAAATGAATTGCCAAAGCTTGTTCGTTTTACCTTTGCAATATCTCTTGTTTATGTTCCCTTCTCTCCTTTGACATTGCCACCATATTGGTGCAGGCACCTTCTGCTTAAACTATTTCAGTAATCGGTTGGTGGGTCTCCCTGTCTCGTCTCTCACCACTCCAGTCCCTCTTCCACTCAGCTATCAGATTGATCTTCCTAAAGCCATTTGACCATGTCACCCCTCCTCTCAATAAACTTCAGTGGCTCTCTAGAACCTTCAGTATCAAATATAAAATCTTTTGACATTCAAAGCCCTTCACAACCCTCCTCCCCACCACCTTTTCCAGTCTTCTTACACTTTACTGTCTTCCACATACTCTATAATCCATTGACAGTGTTATACTATTTTTTCTACAAGATACATCTCTCCACAGGCTGTCTCCTGTGCCTTGAATTCTCTTCCTCCATCTCCTGACTTTTAGCCTCAAAACCTATTAATTTAGGCTAACTTGAGTTGTAGAATTATAGACTCCTACAGCTCTGAAATAGATGGATGAACTTTGCTACTCTTTGCTATTTTTGTTATTGATATTTCTAAATACTATTTTTAAAACTGTGTAATTTTTAAAAGTTGGTATGTATACCCTGTGGCTAAATGTCTTAGAATATCACCGCTATCAACTTAATAAAATGAAATCTGCACACAAGTACAGTCAAACCTGACTTAGATAAGTGATTCAAGATTTTTGCCCTTAGAATTTATCCTGTGGGCAGGGTTTCGAAAGTTTGGTTCCAAACTTCCCCACTAATTTGCTGCAGATCTTAAAAATGTCTCCTGGCCAGAACATGGTTAGAAGTTTCTTTCATCAAAGTGGGGAGATAATAAAGGGGCAACAGACCACAGCTGAAGATACTACATTGATTTGAAGGGAACCTGTCTCATCAGCTTCTCCTTCAGTGCTCCAAATGCCTCGAACCCTCTTGGCTATTCTTTTGAATTTCTTCCCATAGTTTGTTACTATCCTGCTGTGCCAGCAGGGCATACATTGATTACCTCATGGGCTAACCTTTTTGGTCTTAATGACAGTGTCATTTTCTGTACCTTTAAATCAGAGTGAATTTCATAGAATCCACTTTTCCAGGTAAGCACAAAGATGATGCTATGTATAGTGCCTAATGTTTGTTGCTAGCTCTACTGATGCATTTCTTAAAGATGACCTCAGCTAAAGGTATTCAATCTAATTACTTCCACTTCCTGCTTCTCTGCTTCTGGAAAACTATGTCATTTGCACATTCAGTTTATTTAGATGAGAAATGCTCTTCTCTTTTATGAAGCGTAATAGCTCATTTAATGGTAAATCCAATTCTTATCCTGCTTCCCTCAACAGGAGGTCCATTTATAAACTCTAGTCTAGCATTTTTTGAGACTTAGAACTTAGGCAAGCCACTTCTTCTTCCTGGGCCTCAATTTCCTTGTCTGTAAAATGACATGGAGTGGGATGGTGTTAAACTAAATGATCTCTATGGTCACTGCCAATTATGACATTCTATTCATTTCTCATCATGCTGGTTAGAAGCTGCTTTCCCAAGATATTATGTTTTTGTTTGGGTCCCATCAAGGTGAAATAATATTATTAACCTAGGCTTGCATTAAATTACTTGCTCTACCCTTAAACTGAATACTACCTCTTTCCCTTTTCTTTGTGTCCCTTAAATTGATGGGTTTCTTAAGTTCAAATTCCTTCTTATTACCTGATTCAACTTTGTTGAGCTAAGTCTTCAACATTATTTTTGCCTTTTTTTGGGGGGGAGGGGGTTGAAGCAGTCAGGGTTAAGTGACTTGCCCAGGGTCACACAGCTAGCGTCAAGTGTTTAAGGCCAAATTTGAACTCAGGTCCTCCTAAATCTAAAGCTAGAGCTCTATCCACTGCACCAGCTAGCTGCCCCTATATTGAGATAAGTCTTGAAGAAAGTGAGTCATTCTAAGGTTTGGAGGTGAGAAGAGAACGCATTCCAGCCTGGGCATAACCCATGTAAAGTAGTGGAAATGGAAAATGCCATATGGAGTTCAGGGAACAGCTAATAAGGTTGTTTGATTAGAATGTGTAGTGTCAAGGGGCATGATATGAAGTAAGTGCCAGTTTGAGTTTGTGAAACCCCTGAAGATTTTTAAATATAAAAATAAATAGGTTATAGATGGTTAAGTGTGCATAGTGAATTCATAGCTTTAATTTAATTGATTTCAGAAAACAATGTGTCTAAATGGAACATATGCATATATAAATAATATATATGACATATACATATAACATGGTAATGAAGCAAAATCTATAATAGTTTATAGACAACAATCCTATACTAAGCATCTAAAATAATAATTAAATAAAAATAAGCAAACCTAAGTCTGGATATGGAAATTCTGAGGTAATAACATTTCTTTATTTTCTTTTTATGTTGTATCGTATCTGGGTAACAGTAAAACAAAATGATAAAATTGCTGCCTATACGTGGCAACACTTTCACTGTTCCCTTTCTGCTATTGTCATTGATGACATTTAGCATCAATTATGATACTACAGGGTGAAAATGAGAGTATAATTTGTAGATAGAATAAAACAGATGCCAGAAATAATATTCTTACCTTTTAGTTCATTCTGTTCCTCCTCCCTAAAGTCAGACTTAATAGTACATAGGTTGGACAATGGAGGTATCAAGTTCAATTAAGGTCTTATCCCAGGCATGTGATGAGGGTTTCCATTGTTGAGCCAATCGCCTTTCAAAATCTGAAATGTTCCAGTGTGAAGGTAAAGGTGGAACATGATGCTTTATGAGTTATCAGATCTATCCCTTGACACATATGTGGCATATTTTTATATCTTACAATGTCATACATAGTATATATATAGTGTGTGTATATATATATGTATATTACATATATGGTTTTTGTTTATTTTTGTAGATCAATTACTCAAAGCAGTAAAAATGGCCAGAAGTTCAGTATCCGATGAAGAAATGGCAGAACTCAGAGAAGCTTTCTCCAAAGTTGGTGAGTAGCATTGGTATGGAAGACATTTTGGGGTCTCACATTGCATAATAATTCTGTTTACTCAATTACCTCAGCATAGCTTCATCAAAATGATGAAATGTGGGCACGGCAGAAGAGCTCAGAAAATAAAGCAGCGGGGAAGGGTTAGAAGGGGCTGAGGGTATCAGTTCCCAAGAGGAGATTCATTTAAAGTCTATCTCCCTCTCCTGGCCTAACATCCTTCCTCCTCCCTCTGTCCATTTCCAGCCTGGAAAATCTCCCAGCTCTTGGTTCTTTAAGCCTTTACTTAGCTTTATTGTTGTTGCTGCTGTTTCCCTTGACTTTCTTTTACTGACATCCATTCTCTTTTCCCCATTTCTCCTTTCTTGCTAATAACAATCATTTTGTATCCCATTCCACTTTTTAAAAAATTCCCTTTGGTTGACTATTTTCTTCTTAGTCCTAGAATTCTTCTGCCTCTCTTGGCCAGAATTCCTACCTCCGACTCAGAGTTTCAGCTTCCGCACCCTGGAGCTAGGACCTAGTGTTTTCTTATTCCTCAGAAGTGTCTAGCATGGTACCTTCTGAGTGACAATATGATATACCTTTTGACTGATAGCTGCAGTGTTTTGTTAAGCTTCAGGCCTTTTTATGGTGGCAGGCCCAGATGCTGGGGGTGATTGTCTCCACTACCCTGCTACTCCTCACTTCCCAGGTATCCTCGCTGACACACCTAGTGTTCTTGGTTTGATGGCCATTGAACTTTGGGAAGGCAGCATGATGTGAGACAGTATGGTATAATGGAAAGAGTTCCAAATTTGGCATCAGAACACCTGGGATTGATTGCCAGCTTTGCCACTTTTTATCTGTGTATAATTTTGGGCATGTCAATGGGGGAAATGTAATAACTGCCTAATCAGCTTTCATAGGATCATTGTGAGGCTCAGTGAGGTAATGCCTGTAAAGTGCTTGGTAATGATAATGAGCTACCGCTACGACTACTAGTATGTTTGTTATTTATTATTTACAGATACAGATGGCAATGGGTACATCAGCTGCAATGAACTGAATGACTTGTTCAAGGCAGCTTGCTTGCCCTTGCCTGGGTACCGAGTAAGGGAAATCACAGAGAACCTGATGGCAACTGGAGATCTAAACCATGAAGGCCGGATCAGCTTTGATGAGTTTATCTCAGTGAGTATGAAAATAAAAGATGTGGAATGACTTTTTCAAAATAGAGCCTTTAATACTCTGATATCTCCAGGGTCTATGAGTTCATTAGTGTAGTACTTCCTTGATCAAGAGATTCCTCCACACCTCAGTAGTCAGTCTTCATGGCTTGTTATGGTAAAACAAGTTAAGAAGTTTGGTACCTGATCTTCTGGTGATGAGCCTTTCTGCACTCGGCTAGAATGAACTTTGAATGATGGAGTCACTCACTGGGCTTATCATTGAACCCTTCCGGCTTGATAGAACCTACCAGGTTCTGCTCTACTTGGTAGTACCTTCAAGAACCCAGGATCACCTCATAACACCATGAGCCATCAGAATAGGACTTTAGTGAAGGGTTTTTAGTATGTAGCTAGAACAAATATGGTTCCTGTGCTATGGCAATATTCTCTTCTTTTTCCAAAGTTTCCTGGTTAAGGCTTGAACTTCTCTAAAGGTATACTGTTTTCACAGATGTTTCATGGATTAAAAAGCACGGAAGTTGCCAAGACCTTCAGAAAAGCCATTAATAAGAAAGAAGGAATTTGTGCTATTGGTGGTACCTCAGAACAATCCAGTGTTGGAACACAGCATTCCTATTCAGGTAAATTCATAATGCCTACTACCGGAAGAGAAAGATTGCATCATTAATATCCATTTTACCTCAAAATCCCCCATGAATTAACCTATTTTGGGAATGATTAGAGAGAAGCACAGAGAATTTGAGTGACTTAACCCATAACCACACAATACTCACGAAGACTAGAAGCAGAGCCCCTGCAGTTCATCCTATAAGCATTAGACCATATTCCTTCTCCTGTGCCAGAAGCAATATTTATTTCCTCCTACTTAATGTTCTTATTGAATATCTCTGTCTACCTTCAAGTTTATTTTCCGAGTGTTTTGTGACTTTGGGTAAACATAGGTACTGTGGCTGTTCACAAAAGGCACTGAAAGTTTTGGGTAGCAGGAGGATGGACTAGATGAACTTACAGGGTTTGTTCTAGCTCTGACATTCTGAGACCAGAGTGAACTTTGTTGTTTATATTGGAGTATGGTCTTGCAAATGGATAAATGTAACCATTGATTTGCAGAGGAAGAAAAATATGCCTTTGTTAACTGGGTAAACAAGGCCCTGGAAAATGATCCTGATTGTAAGCATGTCCTCCCTATGGATCCAAACACAGATGACCTCTTTACTGCTGTTGGAGATGGCATCGTCCTATGGTAAATAATACTTCCTCATTGGTTTCTAAAACTGTCCATGTAATTATATGTATGCACATACATGCATGTATGTACTTACATGGACATAAATTGGCATATACTTAACATATATATACATAAGTATATAACATATATGTGAATGTATAAGTTTATGGTGTTTTTTAGTTTATGGAGTAAACTTGGCACTGTTTTAACTCCATGCATGGCAGTTTTCTGATAGCACTGCCCTCTACTGATTCCTTTTCCCTGGCCATTGGTTGATAACTCAGAGGTCCAAACTAATTTTAGTAAAAGCCTAAACTAAATATAATTAGGAAGGTAAATTCATTGTGAAAAAAAGACATGATGGATTCTGTGGCCAAAATAGTAATAATGTGTAGATAATATGCTATTTTGTGTCATCTAAACATTCTCTGATATTGGTATAATAGTAATATAAAATGGGAAATTATAATTGAGAAATCATTTGCACATTGCATCCTTTAACCTTGAATGTATCCTGTCATCAGAGTTAAGGAACTTAACCCTGTGACTAAAACAGGATTTTTATGTTATACATTCATAGGCACGTAACCTCTACATGAATTTAGAGGAAAAAAATGTATCAAGCTACCTGAGAGAAAGCAGTAATCCCCAAAGCATGGACAGTTTATCCCAGCACATAATTGACCATTTGCCTAACATGCTGATTCACAACAGTCTTTCTTAGAGTTGCTATTACTGCCATTACAGGACCATACTAGCAGTAGTCTAGGCTCCTCCGGGGCTTACATGAATAGTTAAGTTCTAATTAGATCTCTGCTCTTCAGAGACTAGGGTGTGGAACCTCTCTGTAGTTAGTACAGAAATTCAGATTGAAGAGAAAAAGGATGAAGCAGTCTTGTGGACTCTGCCTGACAACCACCACCACCACCACTATATTAGATAAATCGAGACCACTGTCATCAAATATAGGAGTGTACTTTTGCCCAACCCCATTAACTAGGGCATACAGCCATATCTCTATAACCGTTCTACCCCCCATACTCCTCTCCCTCCTCGGTGGAGATTGAGGGATCTGTGGACGTCTCCACTGTGCTGAGCATGGTTGTAAAATAGGCAGAAAGAGAAATTGCCATTTCAAATACTTCATAGTTTGACCTTTGTGCTGTTTTAGAAAGTGGTGGAGCTACAGCTAAAAGCCTGAACAATGCAAAGCTGCCAAGTTCACTATGGGTTGTGTATAGGGAGAGAGTGACTGTGTGTGTGTCATGTGTCTTTGTGTAAAAATGGTATTCCTGCCACTAGTTTTACTCAGCAAATAATTTTTTGGAAATAGAAAAGTTCTTAAGAACCTCATCTAATCACAAGATGCTTCTAATCACAAGAACATTTCTTGCTTACCCCAAAGGGGATATCTGAAAATATTTTTGTAGATTATATCTTTACTAAAGATTATGTTTTATAAGCAATCTTCAAATGTCCAATATGACGTATAAATATTCAGATCAGGTCACTAACATTTTCATAAATGTGTGAAAATGAATCAATGAAGGGGCAGCTCGGTGGTGCAGTAGACAGAGCTCCGGCCTTGGAGTCAGAAGGACCTGGGTTCAAATCCTGCCTCAGATACTTGACACTTCCTGGCTGTGTGACCTTGGGCAAATCACTTAACCCTGATTGCATCACCAAAAAGAAAGAAAGAAAATGAATCAATGAAATGAATATATCCAAAGTGAAGTTGATCCAAACCTAGTTGTTGTATGGGACTTCAGCATTGTGATATATCCTTCAGGTGTCTCTAGCTTATACTGGGCATCTAGAAAATGGGAGCAACAATACCTATAGCAGTATTTACCTCACTTGCTTGTTTTGAAGATCAGATCAGATGAGGCATATAAATTGCCTTGCAAACCTTAAAATGCTGTATAAATGCCAGTTATCATCCTTATTATTGCTATTATTACTTGGAGTCAGGAATATCTGAGTTCAAATTTGACTTCAGACAATTATTAGCTGTGTGACCCTGGCCAAGTCACTTAACCTCTCTCTGCTTCAATTTCCTCATGGATAAAATGGGGATAATAATAACACGTACTTCCTAGGATTGTTATGAAGGTAAAATGAAATTATATTTGTAAAGTACTTTGCCATATAAAAGCTAGCTGTTATTATTATTATTATTATTAGTGATAATAATATTAAATATTACTATTTTAACATTAGAAGTACAAGGTTATGGTGACAGAAAACACAACTTTCAGTCAGATAGTGTTTTTCCTTGAAAGATATTGCTAACGCCAATTTTTGCCCCCTTTAAGTAAAGATCATTTTTTGTTGTATAACTTAGTAGAACAAGCTCTCAGACCTGAGGGATCTTCCATTTATCTCTACTGTGACTATCAAATATTTAGTTACTAACAGCTCCAGTGACTTCTACTTCTTCTTCTTCTTCTTCTTAACAACAGCAACAACAACAATGATTACAACTCAAATCTATATGGGTTTTAAAGTTTACAGTTCACTTTCCTTACAAAAACCGTGTCAAATAAGTAATGAGCTATTACTATCCCATTTTATAGATAGAGAAACTGAATCACAGAGCGATTAAGTGACATGTCCAAGAACAAAGAACTAATAATTAACAGAGCTGGGAATTGAACCCAGGTCTTCTGACTCTGAGTCCAATATGCTTTTTCTTTTTTCTTTTTTTGTGTGAGGCAATTGGGTTTACGTGACTTGCCAGAGTGACACAGCTAGTGAATATTACATGTCTGAGGCTGGATTTGAACTCAGGTCCATCCTGATTCCAGGGCCAATGCTCTATCCATTGTGCCACCTAGCTGCCCCTAACAACATGCTTTTTCTACCATACCATCCTGCTTTTTTTAGAAAAATAACAATTTGAGTTTAATTTCCTCAGAACAACCTGGTGAGGCAGGCAATATAAATATCCCCATCTTACATATGAGAAACTGAGACTCAGAGATTAACTGATTTATTTGTAAATGGTCACACAGCAAGGCTGAGGAAGAATTCAAATGCAGATTTCCTTATTCCAGATCTAGCACTCAATCTTTGCTCCTACTTGTCTTTTTTATCCTATAAATAATAGGTTTTGTCTACAGTATGTACCTGATATAGTCAGCATATATCAGATACTACTAGGGGAGATTAATACCGTAATATAGTATAATATAATATGATATGATATAATGTACTAATACAAAATAATATAATATAATACATGTGGTGTATTGTATATGGTAGAACAGAAAAGGATGGGGTAGGAGAGAAATGGAATAATAAATACAATAAGACTCAATAAATTTATTCAGCTTGGGATACAGTGTTTGATCCAGACACCCAAAACAGACCTGGGGATTTCCATTAACTGAGACTAAGTACTACTTCCTCAGTATGTAGTTGTTGGGGAATGCTCACATCCTTTCATTATTTCCCTCATCAAGCTTTAATGCTTCTGTTTTGAACAATACATAGGTGAAACTGGTGCCCTTTTCTCAGTCAGAAACATATAGACCAGAGGTTCACAAACTTATTTGGTCTACTGCCCCCTTTTCAAAAAAAAAATTATTCAGCATCTCCCTGGAAATCTACTTTCTTTAACCCTTTAATTTTTTTTAAAATTTGCATCATTTTAAAAAATATAAAATACATATATTTTTAGATGGCACATATTAAATTTAATAATTTATTGTATTTGTGGGGTTTTTTCCTGCACTGAAATTCTGGTAATGCAGTATTGCATCATGTAGCCTTATGGTATCATGTTGTAAACAAGTCATTACACTCACCTATTTCTGCCGATGCATGCTAGACTTACTGACAATGGGTGACGTGCTCCCTGCCAACACTTTCTTGTTAAGACCTGTCATTGGACTTGACCACTCATCAGTTATAACTTGGATTTTGTGTTTTATTTGGAAAATAATGCAATCACTATGACTTTAACTCTGTTACGTAGCAAATGAAACATGTATGAACAGTTTTTCAAAATTCTCTTCTTTCCTTATGCTTCCACCACACCCTTATTTTTATTCAATGCCCCCCAGTGGTACCCAAGGTTACTATTGTTCCCTCCCCCCATAGTTCCAGCGCACCCCAGGGTGTGGTATTGTCCACTTTGGGAACCCATGAGACTAACTACTTCTCTCTGTTGCCTTGACTTTGATTGAAATGACTGAGGAAATGAGGAGGCATAATGCTTTGGGCATCCTCAGCATTTGCTGTTGTTGTTCAGTCGGTGTCTGACTCTTGGGGGTCTAGAAAACCCCCATTTGGGGTTTTCTTGGCAAAGATACTGGAGTGGTTTGCCATTTCCTTCTCCAGCTCATTTTACAAATGAAGAAACTGAGGCAGGGTTAAGTGACTTGCCCAGGGTCACACAGCTAGTAAGTGTCTGAGGTCACATTTGAACTCAGAAGACAAGTCTTTCTGACTTCAGGCCCAGCACCCTCTCCACTGCGCCACCTAGCTGCGTTTTTGGGATTTGCTGATGTGCTAAGAAAATTCAGGGGGGTGTGCATGTTTGTACACAAAATGCATTTGCTTCTTCAGTCCCTGTCCAAAGATGTTAATGTATTCAGCTTCTCTCCCTCAGGTATACTAAGCCTATTCTAGATTCACTTGAATCAAAGTAGCCCTCTTTGGTTTCACATAGACTAGGAAGGAAAAAAAGGAAACAAGTATTTATTGAGCACCTACTATGTTCCAGGTACTGCGCTAGCACTTTACAAATATTATCTCATTTGATCCTCACAACAGCCTTGAAAGGTAGGTGCTGTTACTACCTCCCTTTTACAGTTGAGGAAACTGAGGTGAAAAAACTTTCTCAAGGTCACACAGCTGATAAGTGTATATGGTTAGATTTGAACTCAGGTCTGCCTGCCTCCAGATCTAACACTAGGTGCCTAGGTATAATGTTGTCTTGTTTGCTTACTTGTTGGAATATCAAAAAAAGAGATACAGCAATCAGTATTGTTAGGCCTTGATGGCCAAGGGCCAACTCATTCATTGTTTTCATTTTGATCTTTTCCATTTTAGTAAAATGATCAACCTATCAGTGCCAGATACAATTGATGAAAGAACAATCAACAAAAAGAAACTTACCCCATTCACCATCCAGGTACGGGAAAATGTTTTGTTTTGTTTTTCTATTTCATCTGAGTTACAGGCATAGCTCTAGGTGAGAGATGAGGGCCACAACCTCAAAATCAATCCATATCCCTGTCCTAAGCTACCAGAATCAGCATGAAGCACAGTATGAAATTAGTTTGCTGTGATTCAGTACAGCATTTCCCAGAACCTGGACCAAAAAGAGGGATAAGCCAGGATGCAGGGCCTATGATTTCTGTTCAGAAGGTGGGAATTAAGGGAAAATGTTCAGGTTTTGTCTTTTATTATAATCAATAGCTGTACTATACTAAAAAAAAGAAGTGGAGGATAGAAGGAAGAGGGAAATTCATTTATGAAGAAAATTCTCAGTAGCTTAAATTTAACATCAACTTCCCCTATGAGTTATCTTTGAGCTCATTCCAAAAACATGCCATTTTAGTGAAAAAGATAAGCCTTTCTAAGAAATGAGGGGGTAGAAAACGGGAAGTGTCCTGGCAGCCTTCGCTGTGGCGCGCTACAATAGTGGCTGCATCAGTGTGATAAATATAACCTGCTTTTAGCATTCAATTACTTTGATTAACTGGAACACTAACCAGCAGTAAGTGTGTTCAGAACCATTAAATTACCTTACTGCTTTGCATTCCACTTCTGTAAAATAATTGAATCCACTTGGTTAAGAACATACATCACAGATTAGTTAATCTGAGATGTATTTATTTATTGATTCCTGTTTGGGTTTAAGTAGAGAGGGGTGTGTGTGTGTGTGTGGATGTGTGGTTTCAGAGAAATTTGGGAAGATACGAACTGATACAGAATGAAGTGAGTTTGGAGAGCAGTTTATACAATGACAATAATATTGTAAAGACAAAATCTTGAAAGACTTAGGAATTTGGATGACTATAGTCAACCATAATTCTAGAGGACTCATGATGAAACATGCCATCCATTTTCTGAAAGAGAAGTGTTAGAAGCAGAGCGTGGATTGAGGCATTTTTTTTTTTAACATACCCAGTGTACAAATTTGACTTGATTATACATGTTTGTAACAGAGGTTTTGTTTTTCTTGCTTTCTTATTGTGAGAGGGCAGGAAGGTCAGAGGGAGAGAAGGTAGATCTTAATAAAAGTAAAATAAAATTGAGTTCAGAAATTTTTAAAAATTAAATAAAAAAGAAAAAGCAGCACAGCATAATAGGGAATGGAAAAGTCGGGAAGACCTGGGTTCAAATCCTGCCTCAGACATTTTCTAGCTGTATGGCACTAGACAAATCACTTAACCTCTTGTGCTTCAACTTCTTCATCAGTAAAATAGGATAATAATAGCACCTACCTCATAGATGGAGATCAACTTAAATATTCAATATAAAGTTCTTTGCAAACCTTAAAGAACTATATAACTGCCAGCTATTATTATTGTTGTCTAATCATAATACTGTGGATCCCTGACATTTTTCCTGCTTCATGAGTCATTTCCGCCCGTAATCTCCCATCTTTTTTTTTTTTTTTGGCCTTCGTATGGTTTGATAGAGATCACTGTGTATAGATTGAGTTGGCACATTTTAACCCCTCTACGCACTGTACAAACGAGCTGCGTGGTTATAAGAAATTAGTATATAACTTGTATGTATATTTAACCAAGTTATCTAAATGTTATGGGTACTCAGTAAATATTGTCATAATAACAACAGCCATAGCTCTTCCAGAAATGTGACTGTTGGTTATTATTCTCTTCCCACTCACTTTCCATGCTGAGAAAGCTATTGCCTCTTTCTTTTATGACCTTTCTTTACCTCCACTGTTGTGTTATAGTGCATAAGCAATGACAAGACAATGGGTGGCCTCGTTGAATACTATAATACTGCCTTTTTCTCAGTAGGGGGCTTAGTGTGCTGCCTCCATCTCAAAGCAGGATGGGAAATGTAAGAATCATTACTAACATGGGCATTCCATTTAACATTTGTTTTTTTTGAAGAATAAAGCATCAGGCTAGTCATTGGGTCTTCCATTTTAAACTCTTTTTTTTTTCTCACTCTGTTATTTACCACTGTTTTTTGTTTTTTTTTTTTTCCTCAGAGATGTTATGTGGTCTAATGAGATAATGCCCTTAAAACTCTGTAAGATCTTCAGAAAAAATTAGACAGTGGTAGTTGTCAAGTTGTTGTTCTTATTATCACCATAAATCATCACTTGGTATTTACTGGCATGTTTTGTCATTTTCCTCCCTTCAGGAGAATTTGAACCTAGCTCTGAACTCTGCTTCAGCCATTGGGTGCCATGTTGTTAACATAGGAGCTGAGGACTTAAAAGAGGGGAAACCTTATCTGGTCTTGGGCCTTCTGTGGCAAGTCATCAAAATTGGATTGTTTGCCGACATTGAACTCAGCAGAAATGAAGGTACAGACAGAGGCTAAAGCCTTTTATTTTGTGGGGTGGTCTTCTATTAATGCATATATTTGATGAAGTAGAGAATGGTGTGAAGGACAGCCAGGTTCAGACTGTTTAAGAAGACTTGAATAAAGTAAATGTAAATTAATGCTGGGCTCTCTACCTGACACAGCAGATGGAATTCAACAGTTCATCATTTCTCTTCTTTCCCACAGTAATCAGACTTCTTAAAATATGAAAGTGAAAGCTTCTTCATACCACAGGCTGATAATGCCTATTTAAATTGAACATGTAACTTACGTTAGCAGTCTGGGACTCCAACCTCAAAAAGCTTTCCTCAGATAGCTCATTCTAGATCTAGATAGTTGAATATTTGTTTCTTCAGTTATTTCAGTCATGACTGACTCTTCATGATCCTCATTTGAGGTTTTCTTGGCAGAGATATTGGAGTGGTTTGCCATTTCTTTTTCCACCTCATTTTACAGATGAGGAAACTAAGGTAAACAGGGTTAACTCACTTGCCCAGGGTCACACAACTAGTAAATATCTGAGGCCATATTTGAACTCATGAAAATGAGTCTTCCTTACTCTATCTGCTGTAGCATCTAGCTACCCAATATAATAATTGAATGTGATAATTGAATATCGTATGTTACTTTGTGCTTGAATCTGTACAGAATGGTCCCTGTCTAAAAATGTAGAGTTCTTGGAGAAACTTTCATGTGTTAAGCAGAGTACAAAGGTCATATGATAAATTTATAATTCATGAGAAAATAATGACCTGCTAAGTTTATTCCATATGTTTTGAAACACCTGCCACAGCACACCCTTTCCCAGTGCATACAAAATAATAATATCCCAGTTTCAAAGATAAGTGCTTAGTATTACACAACACAGTGCTGTAGTAGAAAAGCCACTGGACTGAGCATCCAGAAACTTGGATTCTAATCCTGGTTCTGCCACTGACTTAGCTGTGAGATCTTGGACAAGTCATTTCATCTCTGAGCCTCACTTTTCTCATCTGTAAAATAAGGTAGCGAGATTAAATGATTGCTAATACTTCCAGCTCTCACATTCTAGAAGCATTATTTCATGTACAGATATGACTAGCACCAGAAGTGTAATTTCTGTTGGACATCTATATAGCCAGATATGTCATCTCTGTCTTTTAATTGTAATATTCAGTGGAGTGTCCCATGGTGCCTTTTATTCTACATGCCTTATTCTATAATAACAATAGGCACATATAGAAAGCTTTATATACACAATCTCAATCCATGTATATTGCATTCTTGTGATATTTCTTTATAGTCAATGTTTTAAAAGGAGGAAAAGAACAAATATAGATCTTAGAAAATGTGGCACAAAAATATTGACTTGAAAATAGCGGATTCTAAATTAAATCTGCTATCTAAATAAAACCTTTTCCTCTGGAAGTTGAGAGAAGGGGGATAAATTACATTGCTGAGATGTTATAATTATAGAAGTATTTCAACTCTAAAATATCTCTGAGAATTGAAGAGAAACAGTTTATTGTCAGTATTACAAAAGTGATTTCCAAAAAGTAAAAATGTTATCATATCAGGAAACATAGTCTAATGAACACAAAATTAATCTGGGTGATATTTCTGGTTGTGCCACTGTGATCTTGAACAGCTTGCTCAACTTCTTTGTTGTCTCAGTTGTTTCATTTTAAATCAGAGGATAATAGATAACACCATAATGCTTTCCATCTATTTTCCTTGCAGGGATGCAGAGAATATTAGCTGAGTTGAGATTATTGGATAGAAAGAACTATGGGGGTCTTGTGTTAGACCTAATTAGGGTCTTCTACCATACCTCCACAGAGCATTTAGTCTGTCTTCTTCCTTCCTCAATCTCCCTTTTAAGAATTTTACTATGAAGAAGAAAAAAAAAAAAAGGAAATTTAGCTAATCAGTATGATAGCATAGGAGTTTTCCTTAAGTCCAAACAAAACCTATGAACAAGTCATAGAATTAGAATGTTAGAACTAGAAGGGACCTTAGAGGACAATTTTTTCAACTGCCTCATTTTACAGTTGATGAACCAAGCCCAGAGAGGTTAAAGGACTATTAATTCTTTCTTCAGATTAATTCCATGGATTATATTGATAGAAGACATAACCATTCTCCACATGCACCTAGGATTTATTTTTTTTCACTTTTACTATTTTTACTTGTCTAGCTCTGATTGCGCTTTTGAGGGAAGGTGAGAGTCTGGAAGACTTGATGAAACTTTCCCCTGAGGACCTGTTGCTGAGATGGGCAAATTATCACCTGGAAAATTCAGGCTGCAATAAAATCAACAACTTCAGTACTGACATCAAGGTAGGAGGAACGCAGTTTGACTAATTTGTCTAGTATTGGAGGGGTCAGGAGGGGGTTAGGACTGGTTGAAGTTCCACCTAGATACCTTTTTTAGACCTGTGTGTGGCAAGGGATCTTAACTTTTTTGTGTCATGGACTCTTTTGGCAGTCTGGTGAAGCCTATGAACCCCTTAGAATAATTTTTCAAAACTGAAGGATATGATAAATTTTGATTAGAGGTTAGTGAAAATAAAGGTATAACTTTTTTCTTATCTAGGTTCGTGGACCCCCCTGAAATCTTTTTCACAGACTTCAGGTTAAGAACACTTGGCCTATAGGCTTTGGATTTGGTGAAATTATCACTCTTGGGTCTGAGAAGGCATCTTTGGGGCTCTCGTGACTGAGTTATACATATTTTAAAAATCTTAGCTACTTCAGTTAGCAATCATTGGAGCTTAGTGGGTAGACAGAGGAACAAGGGAAGGTGAAGGGAAAGGATAGACAAATGTCAGTTTTTGCACGTGCAGATTATGCTATGGATATGACCAATGTCTTTCTTATTTCATAAGTGGTGAACACTTTTCTTTAAAAAAAAATTGACAAAACTCACTTTTCTTTGAAGGATTTAAAGACAAAAGTTTCTTTTTAAAATGTGGATAAATTTTGTGAAAATTTGCTTATTTTTTACATGTGGAAAGTTTTATGAATCTCAAATATAGTAATTCTGAAAATTCTTCTCCTGAATAAAACTTCTTCCAGAGAGTTGTGGAAAATTAAATCATATACTAAAATCTCAGCAGCTTATCAGTTCCAGACACTCCCCCCCCTAAAAAAAAGGTCTAATTGATATTCTTTAAACGTGTGGGAAGAGGCTATATTAGTGAAAGGCAACAGGTGTGGTTTTTTGTTTTGGTTTTTTTTTTCCTTGCCAAGGACAAATCAAGATGAAGGAAAAGGCAGAGATTGTACTGGAGGCAATTTTGACTAGACAGCAGGAAGTAGTTTCTCACTGTAATAAAAAGTATGGGATACTTAATTGCATTACTAGAAAAGTGGTTGTCTCTTGCTCAAGAGACAAAGAGCATTGTTCAGGGATAAATAGTTTGAATATAACCCTGACACAAAGAGACAAGGGATACCCTGGGTGACCCCTGAAGACACCTCCCGTGTTTGGGCTTCTGTAAATTAGGTGTTCCAATAAAGCATCTGCATGCACTAAGTATACTGTGATCTAGATGACTGGTATAGGGGCACTAGGATTCTTTACATTGCCAAAGCTTTAGCTTCTCTTCCTGGTCTTTCTATAAGGGTCTATTCCAGTGGTACTTCCTTATAGAGAGTTTCCTATTTCCTTTGTATATCTACTAATACCCTGAAGCTCATTACTCTGCCTAAACTAGCTAAAGACAAGCTAGGTGATACAGTGAATAGACTGCAGGATTTGGAATGGGGAAGACCTGAGTTTGAATCCTGTCTCAGACACTAACTAGTTGTATGACCCTGGACAAGTCACTTAACCTTTCTCCATTTCCACATCTGTAAAATGGGGATAATAATAGCACTTACTTCACAGAATTATGAGGATTGAGTGAGTAAACATGTAAAGCACTTTGCAAACCCTAAAGTGCTATATTATTATTAAAGTTATATTAAAGTGCTAGATATCATTATCAAGCCTTATTGACTTTACTTCTCCACTCCACCAAACTTGATTAGGTTTGAACTCAGGGTGTAGCTTGGGCAGCTAGATGGGCGCAGTGGATAGAGTGCTGGGTCTGGAGACAGGAAGACTCATCTTGAGTTCAAATCTGGCCTCAGATGCTTACTAGCTGTGTGACCCTGGGCAAGTAGCTTAACCCTGTTTACCTCAGTTTCGTCATCTGTAAAATGAGCTGGAGAAGGAAATAGCAAACCACTCCATTATCTTTGCCAAGAAAACCCCAAGTGGGGTCACAAAAAATTGGACACAACTGAAAGACTGAACTACAACAAAGTGCCTAGTTGCCGTTGCCATTAGCAATTTCTAAAGTGTTATGTCCTTTCTCAATCAAAATTAAGATACTTGAATATTTTAGAGCTGTTTAGAAAAACAAATTAAACTGGTTTCTATTCAGCAGAATCCTATTCTTCCAGAGTTGCAACCATTTGAGAGTTTAGAAAGTTTCTGAATGGGATGAGAATCATTAAAAAAGTATAATAATATTGACATATTGAGGCAAATTCTTTTTTTGATGGTAACATTAAAAGAGGCACATATATAAAGTCAACATTTATGGAGAGAGCAGACAGTCATTCCATCTGTACAGTTCACACTAGTCCCGGAAAGTCTATGAGGCATCTGGTGATCTGGAGGCTTCTCTTTTTTTCTGGTACTCTGAAGATGGCTGAAGTGACAAGTGACGTCATGGCGTATAATATAACTAAGCATTGGTTTTAGAGGTTGTCCTTTATTATCCTTTCATGATGAATCCCCTTGATAGTGCCCCCAAGGCAATTGTCAGAAAAGGTCCGGCAGAAAAGTTGAGGTTGGGCTTGATGGTGTGACAGAGATTGAAAATCACTTTTCGCCAGTGCAGGCTAGTAGGAGAAATGAATGACAAAATTATCTTTCTGACTTAACAAATAGTGAACAATATTTCTGGCTTATGATCACTTAAGTTGCTTTTAGAGAATTTAAATAAATTATCTGTCTATCTACCTCTATTTCCACATGTGAAAATAAGAATATACTTTAAAAAGATTGGAATTCTGGGGCAGCTGGGTGGTGCAGTTGATAGAGCACCGACCCTGGAGTCAGGAGGACCTGAGTTCAAATCCGGCCTCAGACCAAACACTTGACACTTAGTAGCTGTATGAACCTGGGCAAGTGACTTAACCCCAACTGCCTCAAAACAAAACAAAACAAGAAAAAAAAAACCCAGTGGAATTCTTAGAATTCTTCTTCTGGATGAGACATTTTCCAGAGTGTTAGAGATGGTGGAAATACCATCCGTGAGTTCAAACTGCTGTAACTATTCTATGAGATAGACTTAAATTTGGCTTTTATTTCTGGATTTGTAAGTTCAGAAGGTCTAGCCCAGGATTTACTGCTCACGCTATTTTACTCTCCCCGTTTGCCCTAGAGAATGCTTGGTGATTGCTTCAACTTCTGTCTCTGACTTTCTTCTGTTTTGCTTAGCGTCTAGTTAATGTTTCTTTGACTCTTCTGCCTCCTCCTGTCATGTCTTTTGTTTAATCCTTAGCTGACTGACTTCTACAGCATTTTAAAGGTATATATTTTTCATGCATACAATTTAATACATGTAAACTGATTGTATTCTCTTAAAAGGCAGCAAGGGTAGCATGTTTTTTTTTCTTTTTGCTTGTAATTTAAAGTTTTTTTTTTAATTGCTTTTTAATAGAAAATGAAATGAAATGATATGGTAAGCCACAGGGCATAAAATGCAAATTAGCAAAATGCTTCTAGCTTTGTTAATGAAGTTCTAGGCTTGAATGATTACCGAATCAGAAATAAAGCATGCTTGCTACTGGGAAATACTGTCACAGCACACCTCTGGTTAGCCGCATTATTTTAAAAGGCTAATTTCTTGATTTCTCACAGGACTCGAAAGCTTACTTCCACCTGCTTGAACAGGTGGCTCCAAAGGGAGATGAAGAAGGAATTCCAGCTATTACTATTGACATGTCAGGAATAAGGGTAAGAATGGACATGTAAACTTACTCTTAGGGAATGTGTGACCCTGAAGTTCAGAGGGGATCATTCTTTTTCTGCGCCTCAGTGAATGGGGTTGGTATTTACGGCCTCTTACTCTTAAAAAAGAAGACATGGAAGTTAAAGAATTGATCAGTCAGTAAATATCATTATAATACCTACTATGTTCTGAGCACTGTGCTAAGCACTGGATGAGTAATTAATGAGTAAGAAGACATTTGGGTAATATGCAGTGTATTTTAAGGGGCAATGCAGTATCCTGGAAAGAATGTGGGTCTTGGAGACTGGAAAGCTGGGGTTCAAATTCTTACTCTGACACTTGGTAGTTGTATAACCTTGGGCAAGGCCCTTTACCAGTGACCTCAGGTTTCTCATCAGTATCTCCCTCACAGGGTTGTTAGAAGGCTCAAATGAGACAATGTATACAGTGTTCTTTGCAAACTTTTAAAGTACTATATAATAAGCTGTTATTACTTTATATTATATACTATATGTTAAAATCTCAAAGTAAAAGGAATTCTAAGTAGTGGACTTCATAGACATTTATATTACTATATAACTGTAATTTTAAGAATTTTATAAACTTCCTATTTTATATAATTTGTCCAAAATTGAGTAATGAGGCATCCTCTAAAAAATATCTGATATACCTTATTACATATTAGATGCTACTTGAAGAGCTTGTGAATTATCTTGGAAATTTTTTTAAAAGGACAAATACATGTCTATAATTCTTTTAGATAAAATTCCAGTTCTAGAAGTAAGATCTCTTTTAGGCTTATATCTTGGGTATTGATTTCAAGAAAATAAAAGTTATTTTTAAATTGCTGATAATTTACAGTAGTCACCATACTAAGGATATAAGTACACCTAGCATCACTTTTTATATTATGCCTATATACGTCAAGCCTTATAGTACTTTGACCAAGACTTGAGATCTGTCTGCATTGATGCAGGAGAAGGATGACATCCAGAGGGCAGAGTGTATGTTGCAACAAGCAGAAAGACTGGGATGCCGGCAGTTTGTCACCGCCACAGATGTCGTCCGTGGGAACCCCAAGTTGAACTTGGCTTTCATTGCCAATCTCTTTAACAGATACCCTGCCTTACATAAACCAGAGAACCAAGACATTGATTGGAGTTCTCTTGAAGGTAACTATAACTGGGTTGCATCAAGACGTTAGGAAAAATCAAAACACATATGATAGCTGTTCAGTTTGTAATTCAAAACTTGATTGCAGATAGAACAAAACACAATCACTTTCTTGATATTAAAAAAAAGAAGAGAATAAACAGATAAATCATATCAATTATAGCCAAGAAGGAATAATCAGCTACTATTATATCCGATCCATTGTATGTAGTCTTTATCCATTATCAGGTTTAAATGCTTTTAGAAAGGCAATGCTCATCTCATTATCAGGGCAGCTAGGTGGTACAGTGGATAGAGTGCCAGGCCTGGAGTCAGAAAGACTCATCTTCCTGAGTTCAGTTCTGGCCTCAGACATTTACTAGCTGTGTGATCCTGGGCAAGTCACCTAATCCTGTCTGCCTCAGTCTCCTCATCTGTAAAATGCACTGGAGAAGGAAATGGCACACCACTCCATTATCCTTGTCAGGAAAATCAGACATGACTGAAACGACTGAATAACAGCTTTTTTCAGATGAAGTATCAACATCTTCATCTCATTGTCAAATTAAATAAACTGTTGCATTAAAAAAAAATGGGCAAGATGTTTTAGCCATTCTTCTTCTAAATATAACGTGTTCAGTTGTTTCAGTCATGTCTGCCTCTTCATGACCTCATTTGAGATTTTCTTGTCAAAGATACTGGAGCTATTTGCCATTTCCTTCTCCAGCTCATTTTACAGATGAGGAAGCTGAGGCAGACAGGGTTAAGTGACTTGCTCAGGGTCACATAGCTAGTAAGGGACTGAGGCTGGATTTTAGTTCAGGTCTTCGTGACTCCAGGCCTGGCGCTCTCTCTGCTGCCCAACCCTTTCCTGCTTAGGAACTTGTAATGGCTGCCTGTTGCCTGATGTGTCAAGTCCAAGTTCGTCACCTTATTTCATCTCCTCTCTTCTAGTCAGGCCAATCCCCTCACCATTTGAACACAGGACCTTACCTGCTTACAGTAGGTGTTCACAAGATGCCTGCTGAACTGGTGTCTCTTAACAGAGACTATGTTCATTCCCACTGTTGTGCCTTTGTTCACACTTTTCCCCTGGCCTGGAACACCTTCCCCCCTCCTCTGTACCTCTTGGACCCTCTCCCCCTACCCAACCCCTCCAAAAAACCCCCAACCTATCAGATCTCATGAGTATTTAAAGTCCCTGCTCCTCTCATATTCCTCTATGAAGCCTTTCCCTATGAGGCTGACCCACACTAATTTCTCCCCTTTCTCACCTCCCTTAGCACTTACTATCTGTACCACACATTTAGTCACTTAGTAATTATATCCTGTCTTATATTGTTTTCTCTTTGGGGCGTGGCCATCTTATCTCCCTGATTAGACCACTAGTCCTTGAGCACAAGAACTCTGATGTCTTTTGTGTTCTGCATCATGCTCAGCGCTGTGTTGGGCATAGACATGGTGGGGGTGGAAGAAAGACTTAACTCAGTGGAATTGGTGAATGATAGCAGCTGGAATCAAGATTCATCACAGTTAGTGCCTCTTGTCAGCTGCTTTCTCAATGCACTTGGAGTTTTTTAAAAAGTCTCTGCATCTATTCTGATTATCAGGATAACATGTTTTCCAGGCATATGCTTAATAACTGGTTGTCCTCTGTTGTTTTAGGGGAGACGAGGGAGGAGCGTACATTTAGGAACTGGATGAATTCCTTGGGAGTGAATCCTCGGGTCAATCATTTGTACAGGTAAGAAGACTTGGAAGCTTGAGCTAGAAATGCTTAAAAAGAGATATCCCCAAGCATGGCTTTCCCTAGCTTGAACCACAAGGCCGTCTCTTTCTTAGAATTTGGCTTTTGTCTTTTGTTCTCTCCTCTGCCCTCCCCCCCCCATAATAGCAGACACATGAAGAGCATGGCCACACCCATCTCATTTTCTGAGGATAGACAACAGCCTTAGACCAATAGGGCAGCATCAGAATCCATAGATTGATGGATCTGTTGGGGCTGGTATAAGAAAAAAAAATTCATAACAGCATTCTTCGGAAAATTAAGCTGGCTGTTTAGATTTAAATGCAAAGAGGAGATCTATGGCCACGTAAGGTTCTTTTTTAGTTCTCAACTCCAGTAGGCCAAGTAGTAAGGCCAATGTAGCAAACTTTCCATATGATCTCTATTGGCCCTATCAGTGGCCTCAGTATGTACCACATTGGCTTGTTCTAACCATTGGTAGTAGCAGAAGGGGGGCTGAATTTGAAGTCAGATAATTTGAGTAAATAGTCCTACTATGTTACTCTTTTATGTGACCTTGAGCAAATCACTTAACCTTTATAACCCCAGTTTCTTTATCTATAAATATAGGGATTCTTGCACAGGAAAGAGCTTTGTAAGTTTTAAAGTACTATAAAAATTCAGTTAGATGTACTCTTTTTTTATGCACAGAAGGAGCTAAATGAACAGATTCCTTGAAAAGTAGTTCTATGTCTTTTTGTTGTTCATGCCTCCTCTAAGAAAACCAGGGAGCTTGTCAGCCCACTGATGCAGTCTGCAATCAGAGCCCCTAGGAAATGTATCATATTCCTTCATGTTCTTCTTCCGTTCTTTCCCTCCCTGTCCCTTTTGGGGAAAAAAAATACTCAATATCATAGTTCATATTAGAGTTTGGTTCACTCATTCATAGGAAAGCCAACTTGGAAAGGGCAGTCTATAAGCTAGGCTTCTATGTGTTACCTCATATGGAAGATGGATTTATTTGCTTTGTTCTGTAAAATATTTGCTAATCATATGAGATTTACATGAGATAATATATGAAGAAATTTTTTTTAGTCTTAAAGTGCTACAGAAACATAGTTAATGGTGATGATTCTGGTTTGGTTAATGACAGCTCCATTCTTTCTCCTTGTAGTGATTTGTCAGATTCCCTGGTCATCTTCCAGCTTTATGAAAAGATTAAAGTACCTGTTGACTGGAACCGAGTGAACAAGCCACCATACCCTAAACTGGGGGGTAACATGAAGAAGGTAGGCAAATACCATTGCCAGATTCTGGTAGGGTTGTGAAGGAACAATCTTGCTGAGTATTGTATGAATACTTTATCAGGAGGCCAAGCTCAAATAAGTAACGTTTACACAAAGACACAGAGACCAGAAACTAGGGCAGTTTTTTTCTTAAAGTGACCCTGTTATTTTAGATAATGACCTCTTTACAATTAGATGTTAGTTTGCCGAAAACATCGATTGTGAAAATTCTGATCGAGCTTATTAGAGCATGCAGTGCCATATTCCTCCAATTCCTATAGTTTATCCAGGGCTTCGCTAAAACTTTCCAAAGAGACTGTTTGTGCCGGTGGTTTACTTGGGCAGATAATGGATCTAGTGTCAACACTGTGGGGACACGGCAGTGTCAAAAAAGCTCCATGTTGTTGCCATGATCTCACCCAGTCTCTAAAGTTCTGTAATGTCTAGTGTATGGCCTCAGGTAGGTTTGGCAGCCTGCTATGGGTCTGGAAGATGAAGAATTCAAACTGTCCACGTGAATTGCCACAATCTCCGCCATTCAAGGGAATCTGTTGAACTTTCAATTAATTAAGGTTGAATCTTTATCAAGGTAGTAGAGGACAATAATATTCAATGCCATGGTGAGTTTACTGTGGTTTTGCACTTCAAGTGCATTGTGAATGTAAGAAAATGTGAAAGATCCTTGACATGAGTTATATCCCAAACACTTGTTACCACTCCACCATAGAATCAGACTCATAGAGGAACAAATCAAGACTGCTTATCATACTCATTCCTTAGTCCAAGAACTGAAAAAGCAACCTTGAAAAGAATAATTTTCTGCTAAGGGCAGCTAGATAATGCAGTGAATAAAGTACTAGACCTGGAGTTAGGAGGACCTGAGTTCAAATTTGGCCTCAGACACTAGTTGTGTGACCCTTGGCAAGTCACTTAATCCTAATAGCCTTCAAAAGAAAATTTTTTTTCTGCCCATCTGGACACAGGTTATTCATCATGACTAATAATAGAAGGAGCAGCATGGCATAGTGGATAAAGAATCTACCTTGGTGGGGGCAACTAGGTGGCACAATAGATAAGAGCTCTGGCCTTGGAGTCAGGAGGATCTGAGTTCAAATCTGGCCTCAGACACATGACACTTACTAGCTGTGTGACCCGAGGCAAGTCACTTAACCCCAAATGCCTTACCAAAAAGCAAAGAGAAGAAAAAAGAAAAAAAGAATCTGCCTTGGAGTCAGGAACATTTAGATTCAAATCCTGTCTCTGACACATACTACCCATGTGACTATGGGCAAGTGGCTTAACCTCTTAATGCCTCAAGCACTTTTCCAAGTTCATTGATTAGAAACAAGTGACCATCAATGAAGGTAGTTTCTATACTTGGAGTTCTTCATACCTATAAAATCATAGGTTCAGATTAAAAAAAAAAAATCATAGAAAATGTTGATTCCAGATTCCTTCTTTACTTTTGTTCTGTCTAGAGGGAGGGTTTAGAGGAATTAAAAATGAAGCCTAGTACCTTGAAAAAAAAAAGTGTTGTTATTAAACCCTCTGAGTTTCATGTGCTTTATAATGATAATTTCGTTTGAAGATGATACTATTAAATGACTTTCCTGCTTGATCATTAACAGCTTGAGAACTGTAACTATGCTGTGGAACTGGGAAAGAATCAAGCCAAGTTCTCTCTCGTTGGCATTGCCGGACAAGATCTCAACGAAGGAAACCGCACATTGACGCTTGCCTTAATTTGGCAGTTAATGAGAAGGTATTAGTTATTGGATAAGTTGGTTACCTGGATAATAGACATATGGCACCACTTTATTAGAGCTAAGTAACTTTGGCAGCCAGGCATAGGCTTTAGACTAACTGGTAGGCCAAACTGGATAAAAGGAGACAACTTTCAGTAATGGAAGACATCACTAGATGCCTGTGGGAGCCAAATCTAAACTTGTCTAGGATTTTAGATCTAGAGTTGGAAGAGATCTCAGAAACCATTGAGTTCAACCCCATCATTTATATATCCTAGAGACTTCGGGTAAACTTAATTGTACTGGACTGAGATGTAAGTAGGCATAGAAAAGAAAAAAAAGTATTTTTATTCTTGAGTAAACTCTCTTGAGGGTGTGGACTCAATAACATACAGACTGTAAGCCATGAAACTTCTGGGTGAACCTAGTTTTTGTAATAGGATATAGAAGAGATTCTTGTTGTCACTGTTCAGTCATGTCTGACTTTTCATGACCTCTTTTAAGGTTTTTTTGGCAAAGATGCTGGAGTGGTTTTGCCATTTCCTTCTCCACCTCATTTTACAGATGAGGAAACTGAGGCAAACAGGATTAAGTGATTTGCCCGGGGTCTGACTTGCTAGTGTCTGAGATTTGAACTCAGGAAGATGAGTCTTCCTGACTCTGGCCCAGGCACTCTATCCATTGTGCCACCTAGCTGCCTCAGAGATTCTTAGCATTTTCCTTTTGAACCTTTCTTTTACTTGTGAGAATGTTTTAGTGTTAATTTTTCTTCTCCTCTGGGGTAAGACTGTCTAATTTCTCCTCCCACCCCATTATTTTGGTACTCTGATCTTTTAGCCTTCAGTTGTTTATTACTCTTGTCACTGACTATATTTTGGATTTATTGTTTACATGTAAAATAAACATCTCTGGTTAGAAGAATACTGCAGTCTTTCTTTTTCTTCCTCTGCTTTCTTCTGCCTCCCTCCTCTCTTTTTCTTTCCCCAGAGAGATGATGGGGAGCTTTGAAATTTTCACTCTATGACATAATAACAATGAAGTTTTTAATTAAAATTATCTTACAAAGCAATAATACACTATTGTGATTCCGTTACCTCAGACATGACGGTATTCCTCAGAGCCAGCAAGAGTATAATTAGATTTCTCTCTATAGTAATGCCACTTGTGAATATCAAATGAAATAATGCAGGTGAAAGAATTTTGTATACTCTTGGGCCATAATATAGTTGGTATTATTATTATTATGATAGATTTTTTTAAATAAACTATCATCATTTCTACTTATTAACATAATGAATTCTTGTATGATAACATACTTTCTTCAAAAAACATCCTTCTTTTTTGGGGAACAGGTACACACTGAGTATTCTTGAAGATATTGGTGGAGGACAGAAAGTCTATGATGATATTATTGTCAATTGGGTGAATGAAACACTGAAAGAAGCCGAGAAGAGCTCATCTATCAGTAGTTTCAAGGTAAAAGTCTCACATTGCTTGTTAGATGCCTATCCTTATTCCCAGTGTTGATGTTTACTGGGCTCTCGCTGTATTCTAAAATCTCCTTACATGCTCGTTGAGTTTGAAAGAGCCCGGTGCCAGAATAACCTATTGTTATTATGACATTTATAATATATGATGAATATTGACAGACTTCTCTACTAAGTCATTTTGGGGAGTGATGCTGCTTATTTTCACACACTATCATTTTTCAACACCTTTTTAACATAACCCAGTATACTGTGGCATTTTTAAGATGAGTAGGAATTATTGTTGTTGTCCTGTCTTTGTGACCCCATTTGGGGTTTTCTTGGCAAAGATACTAGAGTGATTTGCCATTTCCTTCTCCAGCTCATTTTACAAATGAGAAAACTGAGGCAAACAGGATTAAGTGACTTGCCCAGAGTCACACAGCTAGTAAGTGTCTGAGGCCAGAATTGAACTCAGGAAGATGAGTCTTCTTGATTCCAGGCTGGGCATTCCATCCACTGAACCATCTAGGGTACCTGAGTATTTTAACACTTTTCCCACTATTCTGAGTTTTTTAATACCAAAAGATCCCCATGTCAGTGTTTTGCTTGTGGACTTACATCAGCCAAGCCTGTTTTTATTAATGGGCATTACATTTTATTAAATTTCCTGTCTCTTGTTTTACAAATTAGTTCTCAAGGAGCCTACATACTAGGACAGCTAGGTGGCTAATTGGATACATTACTAGGCGTGGAATCAGGAAGATTCATTCATCTTCCTGAATTCCAGTAAAATGACCTGGAGAAGGAAATGGTAAAACCACTCCAGTATCTTGGCCAAGAAGAGCAACCCCCCACCCCCTGCCAAAAGCAGTCACAGATTTAGATATAACTGAAATGACTGAACAACAACAACAAAAACCTATGTACTATCTATGTAATGTGATACTCAAACTTGTACTATATTGACTCCATATTTCTAGCTTACAAATCAGTCCAGAATAAAGAGTTCTTTCAGAGATATTGTCCTAGAGCTGTGCCACAGTATCTCACCATGTTAATTTTCTTTTTTCTTTAAACAAGGCCAAATGACATTTTCTCCACATGTTAGAGAAGTAAGAAGCTTTGTGGTAAAATAGAAAGAACATTGTATTTGGAGCCAGAGGACCGGGGCTCAGGTTCCAGTTTGGCTGCTTTCTATGTGTGTAATTTTTGGGAAGTCACTAAACTTCTCTGGGACTTATTTTCTTCATCTGTGAAAAGAGGGAGTTGGATTTAGTTATCTCTAAGACCCTTTTGACATGCTGCCATTGAAAGAGGGCTGAATTTAGAGTTTGAATTCTGGATCTGCCACTCACTACTTGTGTGACCTTGGGCAAGTCACATCTCTTGGGATCTCAGTTTCCTTATCTGTAAAATGGGGGAGAAGGCAGGAAAAATTAAATCAGTTAGACTTCACTGCATGATGGTACAATAGATAAAAGCTCTGGAGGTGGAGTCAGGCAGACCTGAGTTCACCCTAGGCAAAACACATAAGCTTGCTTAGCCTGTTTCCTCGTCTGTAAAATGGGGATAATTACCTCCCAAGGTTGTTGTGCAGATTAAATGAGATAACATATTATAATACTTTGCAAACCTTAGAATCCTATATAAGTGCTGGTTATTGTTGTTACTATTATCATCATGAGATCACGTCAAGAACCTTTCTAGCTCTAAATCTTTGATCCTTAGTTTTGTTCGAAGGAAATATTCCTGGTTAAGGCTGTCCTGTGCTCCTGGAAGAGCTCTATGAAGTCCCATGCCTGGGAGGCCCCTCCCATGACACCCCCTGAAGAGAGGCCAGAGCATTGGTAGTGACAGGGCTGATGGCAGAAAGTAGAGGGAGGCAGGTACTTCCCAGTTTTAGGTTGTATTATGGCCCTGACATACATCTGAGTGAAGAGGGACAGACAACTCTGTTCCGGAAGGATTCCCTCCCTGGCTTAGTCAGCTGCTAGCACCTCCTCAACAGCAGAGGTTGCGGGAGCATCTCATACAGGGGAAGGGCATTAGGAGAGTGCTACTAGCAATCTGATGGGATGAGAGAATAGCTACAATCTTAGAGTTTAGAGCACAGGGTGGCTGTTCAGTCATTTAAATCATTCTTACTCTTCATAACCCCATTTAGGGCTTTTTTGGCAGAGATACCGGAGTGGTTTGCCATTTCCTTCTCTAGCTCATTTTACAGATGAGGAAACTGAGGCAAACAGGGTTAAGTGATTTGCCCAAGGTCACGCTAGCTATTAGTGTCTAAGGCTGGATTTGAACTCAGGCCTTACAGATTCCAGGCCTGGAGCTCTATCTACTATGCCACCTACTTTGCCCAGTTATAGTAAGCTCTTAGTTTAACTCTAAGCAATATAGATCAGGAGTTGATAGGGGAGGTGACTTTCTTTAGGACGTGTAAACCAGTGGTTAACTATCATGTTCTTGCTGAGGCTTACTGAATATTCCACTGGGGAGAAGAATACAGCTATCAGTGTTCCCAAGGGCAGTGGGGACCACTCCAGACTCACCCTTTCCTTAGAGACCAGCACTTCACTCCTCTCCTTATCCTTAGCTAGTATTCTCTGCCCCAGTATTCCAAGTCTCCTGGACCCATTAAGCATCATGAGACTTCAAGGAAACAAAAAGTCATTCTTCCCTAGTAGATGGCCAAGGCCTCTTGCTTTGGCAAACTTAAGTTGCTCTCGATCCGTTGGGCATTCATTGTGTGGAGCACCGTTCTCAGTGTTAACTAATGGGACAAGAGTGGCAGGAGTGAGATTCAAGTTATTTTTTTTCCCCCTTTATCTCGCCCCGCCCAAGTCTTCTGTAAAACTGAAAGCACAATCAGGAAAGAGTAAACAATTCTTTACAAAAAGTAAGATGTCATTTTGGTCTCAAAATTCCTTACAGAATGCGTGAATTCTATTTACTGTGTACTCCCAGTCAACTTTTTATTATACAGTTTGGAGAGGTCATGTGATATGATGTGAAGAGTCACCTGGATTTGGGGGAAAAAGAAAAAAAGGCTGGAGTTCCAGTTTTGGCTCTGCTCCTTGCTAGCTGTGGAACCTTACTTAGGCTGGTCACACTAACCCCAATTTCCCTGTCAATGAAAATGAATATAATTACAACAGTAGCTAATACATAAGACTCTTCTAAGGATCAAATGAGGTAATTTATGTAAATAATACAAATATCCAAAGCAACTTAAAATGCTACTACTGGTGGATTGTAATAGTTTTATGACCTTTTTAGGAAGTGCAAGTATTTTTATGCCCATTTTTTACTTAATGGAGTTGAGGCTCAGAAAGGTTAAATAATTTTCCTAATGTCACATAACTGGTGTATGGTTGAGTTAAATCTTAAATCTGGGGCTTCTGATTAAAAATCTAATAATTTTCCCACTGTCACTGTTTCATTGCCTACCCATCTCCTGATATTATTAGTCAGTCTCCTGCCCCCTCTTGTGGCCATCTTTACAATGCTTGTTAGTATCTTCTCTGATAAATCAAACCTAGGAATTAAGGTAAAATTCAAATCTGGCCATTGAGCTCTTTCTTGAAAACTCTAATAAATGAAAAGTTCACTATGATAGAAGACTAAAGTTAATGGTTAAAGTGAAAATAAGGAGATTGACTCGATTTTAGCCATTAGTGTTTTCTCCTTCCCAGGGGTTCCTGGATTATTTGTGACATTAAGAATATATACATATACGTATATACCTATACACATACATATATGTATACAATGTTTCTGATCCACTCTCATAGAATAAGAAGCACTTATACACTGCTACCATATTGATATTACTAAACTCTATTTTCATTACAGTTCTTACCTATATAAGAACTTATAATGACTCCTTCTGCCTAACTTTCAGAGTCCTCAGTAATTTGCCTCTCTCCCTATTCCCTAACCTTATCTTCTGCACATAGTGTTCTCTTTCACATCCACCTTTCAAAGATTCCTCACTGTCCTGTGAACCTGCCATATTCATTCTCAAAGGCTTCCAGGCATTTGGTTTAGCTTTTTTTTTTTTCTAGCCTGCCTCCAGCTTCCTTCTGACCATCTAGATCCTAGCTCTCCTTCAAAGACCAACTCAAGACCAAAACTCCTCCCTGAAGGCTCCTCTCTGTCTGTTCCAGTTCTCCTGATTTAGCCTTTTTCTGAAATCCAGATCACTTGCAATCTGTGCCATAGTTTAGCACTTGTTTTTTTTAATTATTGTATTGTTTTAGTTATTTCTCTTTAAATAGACTGAAAGCAAGAACTGTCTTAATCTTTCTCTCCCGAAACAGTACTCAGTAAAAACTTAGTGATTGATAGATTTATTCATTATTTATATAGATTTCATAAAATCACAGTTGTTTTGTTTTTTTTAAGTTTTGGGGTAGTGTTCTATTTCTTTTATCTGATGCCAGCTGCATTTTATCATTAAGGGAGTGAATGATATCTTGCCATGTGTTTATAAACTACAGACTTCTTCTGAGAGTTAGAGTGCAAGGAGCACCAAACTTTCAATCTGCAGACCTAGGTTTGATTCTCAGCTCAGATACTCTCTAGCCATGTCACTGTGGACGAATCACTTGGTCTCTCAGAACGTCAATTTCCTTCTCTGTAACTTGGCAATATTTGTCCTCGTACTTATCTGGTAATGCTGTTTGGAGAAAAAAAAAACTTTGTAAAAATTAAAGCACTTTTAAAATGTGAGTTCTTATTGTTACCAGTATTATTAATTTTGTTAATTATTAGTATTATATACATTTGAACTTCCTGAGGCCACTTTCCCTCATTCTTGAGATCTTGGTCATTCTGCAGTAGCTCATTTTAAGAAAGAATATAATTCTGCTGAGAACTCAAACTAAGCTGTATATAGATCACAACAATATAACTAGAAAGAGTGATCCACTCTTCTTGTGACCAGTGGAAATTCCATTAATTATAGTAGGGATGACTATAGATAGACAGATAGATATAGATATTTATGTAGATAGATAAATATATGTATGTATATATGTATACACGCACACATATACACATATCTATGTATATAAATTTTTTTCTCTCTCTATAGGATCCTAAGATCAGCACAAGTATGCCTGTTCTGGATCTCATTGATGCCATTCAGCCAGGATCCATTAAGTATGATCTTTTGAAAACAGAGAACCTAGATGATGAAGAAAAGCTCAATAATGCCAAGTACGTAAACAAAACTTTTTTGTTTGACAGAGTGGGGAGAGGAAGAAGGGAAAAGAATAAGCATTTATGTAATACCTACTATGTGCCAGGCACTGTGCTGAGTGCTTTACAAATATTATCTCATTTGATCCTCACAACAATCCTGTGAGGTAAGTACTGTTATTATACCCATTTTACATTTGAGGAAACTGAGGCAAACTTGCCTGGGATTACACAGCTAGTCTGAGGCTGGATTTGAACTGATAATCTATCCTGACTCCAGGCTCAGGGCTCTATCCACTATATTACCTAGCTGCCTCAGGGATTTTGTTGGAATGGGAAACTCACTTTTCCAGTGCAGATTAGTCCTACTTTTGCAGCTAGACCCTTAGAAAGTTAATCTTGGGCTACGAGAGGTTAGGAGATTTTATTCCCTATCATGGAGCCATTGGTTGTCAGAGAGGAGACTTGATCCTAGGGCTTCCTCATCCCAGGACAAGCTCTCTGCCCGTCATGCCACACTGCCTGTCAGATGTGACACGATCTTATAACTTTTCTCAAGGATAGGGAACCCAAATTTCCATGGGGAATAAGGGGAGTGTTAAAGAGTCTGTTGCCATTATCTTTGTGCAATTACGATAGCTTCGTTATTGCTGCTGTTGACATTGTTTTAAGTACCATTCCTATCGTTGTTATTTGAGGTTCAACATCAGTGTAAGAAAAGGCTCTTGATGTTAAGGACCTTTTTAAGTCAAAAGTCAGCCTAAATTTTTTAGTGGTTGACATTTCAGCAGTTTTTTTACCTGTGATTTCATCCATGTTGGGGGAACTTCCAGATAAGGAAATTCCTTCTGAAAATGCAGAATATCAACTGTTTTTCAGTCTGTGGTCTTCGAGGTCTTTGGGGCCCCTGGGAGATCATGTGACTTGCCCAGTGTCACACTGTTTCAGAAGTGGAACTTGAAGTCGTCTTACTGACACTGATGTCAGCCACCTATTCACTGTACCACAGTTCCTCTCAATTTAGCATATAATTTCATAAAACTAGTTTCATAATCATCAGCTTATAGCAATTCTCTTAAAAGACCTCAAACAAACTCAAACTCACAAATGACCCACCACATGGGAGCAGGCAGTGGGAAAACCTGTGCCTAAGCTCCATCCCTGTGTCCCCTGGGGACTTCAATCTTTTATTTACAAATTCAGAACACTTGGAAAAAGTGTGACTTAGAGAACTTAGACATCTACTCTTTTTTTATTTTTTGGCATTTTGGTGAGGCAATTGGGGTTAAGTGACTGGCCCAGGGTCACACAGCTAGTAAATGTCAAGTGTCAAGTGCTGGATTTGAACTCAGGTCTTCCTGAATACAGGGCCAGTGTTCTATCCACTGTGCCATCTAGCTGCCCTCAAGAATAATAGTACTCTTAATAAAAATAAAAATAAAAATAGGAAAGTCAGAATGGGTATAGGAAATGAATCATAGCCATATGCAAATGTCCAGCAAATAGTTGAAAATTTGGGAATGGAACCTAGGAGAGAGTTCAGGACTAGGGATATAGATTTGGAAATCAACCTAGAGGTTATAATTGAAGGTAGGAAAATGGATGGGCTTTTCAGAGAACAGATTTTAGGTAGGAACAACAATTCACATTTTATGTAGCATTTAAGGTTTGGCTAAATGTCTTCCTTACAGCAACCTTATCAGGCAGAATTTTTATCTGCATTTTAAAAATAAGAAAAATTGAAGCTATAAAAGGATGAGTGACTTGCCCATGGTAACCCAGACTAATAAGTTGGAGCCAGAACAGAACGCCAAGCCCAGGACTGAACTTTGAGGAATGACTATATTTTCTCAATGGCAGGAATGAAATGAGCTCCAAAAGAGACAGAGAAGTGCAACCATAGGATCAGTAGTAAAACAATAAAAGCATAGCAGGATGGAAGCCAAAGGAAGGTTTTTCAAATCTCAAGAACCTTAATAGCATCATATGCTACAGAAAGGTCATGTAAAATAAAGGATTAGTATGAAGACATTGAATTTGGCAATTATGAGGTGACTGAACTTTGAAAGTGCAATTTCAGGTAAGGAGAAAGGAACTGGTAAGGAAGTAGAGGCAGGAGGTATAGACTGACAGTACAATGGAGAGAAATTGAGGTAACTTTTTTTGTTTTTTCACGAGGCAATTGGGGTTAAGTGACTTGCCCAGAGTCACACAGCTAGTAAGTGTCAAGTGTCTGAGGGTGGATTTGATCGCAGGTCCTCCTGACTCCAGGGCCAGTACTCTATCCACTGTGCCACCTAGCTGCCCCTTGTTTTGTTTTTTTAAAGCTAAGGGAAATCAAAAAGTATTTCAAATTCAAGGATAATGAACCAGTGGAAAGAGAGAAATTGAAGGTGTTGAGGAGAAGGAAAAATTGATGGAATAAGATCTCAGAAGGGGCAGCTAGGTGGTACAGTGGATAGAGTACTGACCCTGGATTCAGGAGGACCTGAGTTCAAATCCAGCTTCAGACACATAACACTTATTAGCTGAGTGACCCTGGGCAAGTCACTTAACCCCATTGCCTAAAAAAAAAAATCTCAGAGGTTCAGGAAGGGAGCATGATCAAGGAAGTGCCTCAGAAATGTTTCCTTCGATAGAAGATGGTATAGGAGGGAAAGAAGGAAGAGTAGTTGCAGAGACATCTAAAGGTAGAGAATGGGGAAGATGATTGCTACCTCCATCTTTTCAGTAAGCTAGGTGACATGGAGTCATTTCAACAGAGCTGGAGGAAGGAAGACAGGCATACAGTTTTAAGAAGAATAGAGAAGTTCTAGGAAAACTGTGGGGAATGTGCTAGGGAATCAACAAAGATTGCCAAATTAAAGCAAAGGTCTGAATGGTATTGAGTAGTATACATTTGTGTATTCATGCAAGTCTGTGGCTTTCTTCAGCAATACTCTTGGACTACAAGAGTCCTTTGTGAGAAATAGTAGGAAGTTGTATGGAGTTATGAAGTTATGTAGGAGGATTGAATTGGAGGCAGAATCTGAACCCTTCCTCCTCTTCTAGACTGAGTATCAGAAGGCAGCTGGCCATTGGCCCAGATGTACCCAGATGTGAAGTTCCATTCCAGAGTCCTTCAGTCAGCAGCTATATGTGTTCAAGATAAGACAAAATTGTAATAATGTGGTCCCTCCCTATTTTGCCACCTAGATTTTTAATCCATTTCTCATTTTATTTTTTAGGTATGCCATTTCAATGGCCCGAAAAATTGGTGCAAGAGTATATGCTCTTCCAGAAGACCTGGTGGAGGTGAAACCTAAAATGGTCATGACAGTTTTTGCATGTCTCATGGGAAAAGGAATGAAGAAGGTTTAAGGCCAAATAGGGTTGGACTTGGAGGCTAAATCACATGATTTTGACTGCCTGTACACTGGATGTCCTTTTCAAGACCCAAGAAGCACGTGGTCTAGCTAAGCCATTCCAGAGTTTTAAAAGATGTTAACATTAAAACAAGGTTCTAAGCAGCACCTAGTTGTTCATCCAAATAACGTATCCTGTGTTTAACAGAAATATGCTTCATTTCTTTGCAAAAGAAACAAACCCCAAACCTCATGCAAATAATTTATACCCTTGAATATATTTGCTTCCTTTGAAAGGAAATTTTCTTTCCTAGCAGCCCTCCCCCACAACCTCCACTTTAATCATTAGCCCAGTGTAAAGGCTATGTATTGTTATTCTCAGCATAGTCTTTCAAGTTCAGTTGCACAGATTTTTTTTTTAAGACAACGGAGTGATAGAGGAAGAAGAAAAATCAGTAATTTTTAAGACTATTAGTAGGAGTCTACCACTTGTCTCTGTGAGGTTCTCTTGGTTTGATGTTCCTTGTTGGTACCTCCTCTGTCTGACACCCCATTAATTCTCATTCCCTGTTCCTAACCTGCAATCTCTTCTTTCAGCAGCATCGTCCTGTGACTTTTCCCCTCCCCAGGCCACAGCCTTCCTATAGTTTGCTGCTGCAAGGCATCCTTACCATTAATTGCAGTCATCCTTTGAGGAGGGGGCGTGGCAGAGCTCTCCTGCTTACCAGAGCTGAGCCTAAATTATTAGTCACTGGTCTACCACCTCCAGGGCCCAGCCTTGCCCTACTTCCTAGCCTCCTGGGGATCCAAAGACCCAAGCTTTTGGTTTTTCAGCAAGTAAACAGCTGTCTCTTTTTGTCTGCATGGTGTTCAGGTTCAAGATGAGACTGGACTTAGAAACCTAGTCACAAAATCCAGGGTTCAGTTTTTTCCTTTGGCCAAGATTTGAATGTAGAGAGGTTGAAATGGAATAGGGCACCTCAGGCAGTAGCATGGAGGTGTTTCCTTGCATACGTTCACTGAAATTGTTTGATTCTCCATAATTATAGTCATGTGCATTAGCATTCACATAGAGTTGTACGGTTGAGAAATGTCTCTGCTTCGAGCAGTCTCGGGAGCAGCCATACTTTAGTGGGGTTTGCTCTCAGAATTCTAGTATTTCAGTTGTTATGTAGGCCATGTCATTAACAGTTTACTTTCATGGAACGTTAGAGTCCCTGTGGAAAAATGTGCCAATGAATCATCCATCCCATCTATGTTAGATAAGCAGTTTAATAGACATTTACATAATTATAAACAAAAGCCCTGTGGATTTGAACAGCTACACTTAAGAAAATCTCAAGAAACAAACTTAAAGGCCTAAAAGTAGCACATCAGTCCTCATTAACACCAGGCCACCCCCTAATTGCTTTTAAAAGATCTGCTGACAGAGGTGTCTCATTTAAAGATCTCACTTAAAGGACCTTAGCCATTGTTTAAAACAGTAAAAAGTATTCATCTTCTATTGGTTCTGAGTTATACCCCTTATGTTGACCCACCAATCAATGTTTCTATTGTATCTGTATGCACAGGCTTAAGTTTTGCCTTAGTCTAATCTATACTTATCCTACAGCCTTAGATAACTTTCTCTTGCTAACTTCCTTCATCAAGGAGGAATATAATTGCCTTAATGAAAAATAAAGATAATGCTAGAAATCTCTCCAAATAAAGCATTCTCCAAAATGCCTGTCTTCTGATGTTTTCTTTTGAAATTTTAGCAATAATAAAGTGTTTGTGGTGAGTGTGAAAGGATTAAGATTGAAACTTAAGTTCTCAAAAGCATACCCAGTCTTCTTCATGAAAAACGTGGAAGGAGGTTGATACCAGAGGATTAGGGTACTCAAAACTGTGCTAGTTAGGATCAGTTGGAAGAACCAGTAGAATGGGATAGAGGAAACTAAGCCTAAAACAAAAATCCCAAAATAGAGAATGAAAGCTGACAGTACTTTCTGGGAGTTCTGATTATCTTGGGATGTGAAGTAGAAGGAAGTGTTCAATTTGTTCTACTTGTCCCTAGAGGGTACAACTAATAATAGCTAACATTTATCTAGCATTTACTATGTGTCTAGCATTTACTGTGGGAAGTGCTTTATAATTATTACCTCATTTAGGCCTCACAACAACCCTTGTTGTTGTTCAGTTGTGTCCAACTCTTCATGACTCCATTTGGAATTTTCTTGGCAAAGATATTGGAGTGGTTTGGCAACAATCATCATATATTTGAATAGTTGTCATGTGGAAGATGGATCAGATTGTTATTTCTGTTCAAAATAAGGCGAAAGCTCCTAATAATTAGAGCACTTCAAGAGTGGAATGAACTGCCTCAACCTTTCAATAATAAGCTCTTCAAGCCAATACTGGGTGATGACTTGTCAAACATGTTATAGAGGAGATTCTTGCTTTATATAGGAATTCAAATAGATTGCCCCTTGAGGACTCTTTCAACTGATTTGACTACCTCCCCCCCTCACCCCCATTAGGAGTAAAGAAGGAATTCCTTGTTCTTCCAGTTCCTGGTACCCTCTCCAGATCATATCTGAGAGGAAAGGATGCTAGTGAAATCAGCAGGAGCCTGCCCCTTCTCAGGACCATTTGCTGTTTCAGGGTCCTGGCAATACTAAATATGTCTTGGATCATGACATCATGACATTATAAAATCATAGTAGACAAGAATGATTGAAGAATAAATTCTCTTAAGGTTATTTAGCTTTGTAAAGGGTGAGGGAAATTTTAAAAGTATGATGGGTTCTTGTACAAAGAATGGTGATCAAGTGGTCTTCATCTCCTCTGAGGGGAAAAACAAAACATAAAGACTGTTTTAAACTGCATTATTATAAATTCCTTATGGGCACAGACCATATCATATTACATTCAAATCTCCTATTATATGTTGTATTGGGCTATAAGCTTATTGAAGCGTAAGTTAATAGAGTACTGGAATTGGAGTCAGATAAACCTGAGTTCAATTCTGTTTCATTCATTAGCTGTATAACACTAGTATGTCATTAACCTCTTTTAGCCTCACTTTTCTTATTAGTGAAATGTGGATAAAGAGTACTACTTCACAAGGTAGTTGTGAGGATCAAGTAAAATAACATATATGGAGTGTTTTGCAAACTTTCAAATGCTATATAAATGTGAGCTAGTAGTGATGTTCAATAAATACGTGTTACTTAGTTTATAATATAATGAGCAAATTTCTGTCAGTGGACTCTATTAGAAGACATGGGAAGAGATCTTAGAAAAAAATTGTGAACCCCCTTCTGGGAGGCTTGAGAATGGGAAAAATTCCTACCTGCCTTAAAGTATGTAAGTACAAAGGCACATTTTCCTGAATTATGTTATGCCTGAAGCCAAGGTGTTGACATGTTTAACATTGCTTAGGTAGTATCAACTTTCATCTCAGTGTTCTCTGTCCAAAGTGGAGTTCTACTAGATGAAATCTCAAGAAAATGTTAGTCTCTGAGTCTATAACTTTGTTTTAGGACGTGGGTAATATACTTCATCACAGATCCCTTGGAGATGTAATTGGGCATTGTTTTGGTCATCTTTAAAACATTTCTCAAATATGCCCTCTTCTCTTCTCTGATACAGTCACCACCTCGTTATAGGCCCTTGTCACTTCATGCCTGTACTATGACAATAGCCTGCTGATAGGTCTGCTTACCACAAGTCTCTCTCTACCTCAGTCCATCCTTCATTCAGCTGTTAAAGTTATTTTCCTAAAACACAAGCCTGACCACGTCACCTCCATCCTCAATAAATTCCAGTGGCACCCTATAACCTCTGGAATCAAGTCCAAATCCTCTGTTTGGTCTTCAAATGCCTTCATAACCTCGTCTTACCTCTTCCACCCTTTCAGTCTTCTTATGCTTTATACTACACTTAAATTTTATACTCTTTCATATATACTCTTCCAGTATAATATACTCTGTGATATTGGCCTACTGGCCCTTCCTGGAACAAGACATTTGCAGGCATTTTCTCTTGCAGTCTTCCTATGGTTGGAATGCTCTCCTTCCCCATCTCTGCCTCCTGGCTTCCTTCAAGTTCCAACTAAAATCCCACCATCTACAGGAAGCTTTTCCCAATCCCTCTTGATTCTAGTGCCTTTTTTCTTTTGATAATTTCCTGTTGGTCTTGTGTATAGTTTGTACATATTTGTTTGCTTGTATCTCTCCTGTTACATTGTGAATTCTTTGAGAACAGGGACTCCCTTTTGCCCTCCTTTGTATCCCAGAGTTTAGCACAGTTCCTGGCACATAATAGGCACTTTAAAAATGTTTATCAAAAATTAAAAAAATAAATAAATAAAAATGTTTATCAACTGACTCACAGTCCAAATCGGTGATTCCCTCTCTGTAAGAAAAGCAAATCAGTGAATTCCCATTCAGTCTATTCTCTTATGGAGAAGCTATGCCTCCAGATTATGTGACTTTTTTGCCCATATTGATCTAGTGTATCTCAGGGTGGTGCTTAACTATGTAAGGGAAGAGGTCTGGATGCCTTTCTTTAAAAACAAAAACAAGTAACTTTTACTTAATTTTATTTTTTCCCTCATTTATCAAGCATTACTTTTTCTCCCACCTACCTCCTCCAGCCCATTGAAAAGAAAAGCCCTTACAATATAGGATAGTCAAGCAAAATAAATCCATTCTGTGGTCATATTTTAAAATTAATATCTCCTTCCTCCCCCATTACTTTGCAGTAGTAGGGCTGCTCCTGCCCCTCCCTCTCTCCAAAGGAGGGTCCACATTGTGGAACATTGTATAGTCAGATTTTTTTTTTTGATGTATTGATCAGATTTGCTGATTTTTTTACTCTTTTAAAAAGATGAGATGGCTCTCTGTGAGGGGGCATGTAAAGAGATACAGGTAGAAATTTAGGTTATATAAAAAACAAAAAAAAATTGATAAAAGTTTATTTTTAAAAGAATGAAAATATATATCTAAACTGTGTTTGAATCTATGACCTGTCAGGTGGTGGACAACATGCTCCATCATAGGTCCTCAAGAGACATGGTTGATCGTTGATTTGATTGGAATTCTTAAATATTTCAAAGTTGGTTTTCTTTTTTACTGTTCTTGCTCAGTCATTTTTCAGTCGTGTCTGACTCTTTCTGCTCCCATTTGGGGTTTTCTTGGCAAAGATACTGAAGTGGTTCTCCAACCCTTTTTACAGATGAGGAAACTGAGGCAAACAGGGTTAAGTGACTTGCCCAAGGTCACACAGCTAGAAAGTGTCAGAGGCCATATTTGAACTTAAGATGCCTTCCTGACTGCAGAACCTGCACTCTATCCATTGCTGTTATTAATGTCAGAATAAATGTCCTGGTTCTGCTCACTTCACTCTGCAACTCACTTAGCCTCTCTCAGCCTCAGTTTTCTCATCTATAAAGTGGAGATGATAATAGCACCTACCTACCTCCCAGGGTTGTTGTGAGAGAAAATGAGGCATTTCTAGAGTGCTTTGGAAACCCTAAAGTGCTATGTAAATGCTAGTTGTCATTGTTGCTGTTATTACAAGCCTTAGGCCCTCCAGAGCTGCCCCAAACCTGTATACAGTTAGATTGATTGATTTTTTTTGCTATACAACCTCCAGTTTTTTTCTTAGCTAATGGTCTTTACCTTTATCTTGCAAAAGGGAACTTTGTTGTAAATTGGGAAGAGAATTAGTCAAGCTCTTGCCCGTCAGGAATGTCCATGTGACCTTGGGAACACCTTTTGCCGTTGCTCCTTGGTCAAGGACATGCTCACCAAAGAGGTCAGCTCAGACCCTTTCAATTTGTACATGAATTGAAAAGAGCTGGCATCTTAAAGGTACAGATGGTTTTCTTCCCGTTCTGTGAGAGACTGTTACAAGATCTGAAACTTAACTATGAATTATGGGAGTTGTAGTTTCCAAAGAGACAGAGTTCCCTTCCTGAGCTGGGAAAGATAAAGGCTATCATGAACTCTTAGCCAGGGGCAGATTTTGAGGCCTTTTGAATAAGGCTGTGGCACATACATGATAAATAAGAAATAATAACAAAGGAAAGACACTAGAATTAAAAGGAGTTGGGGAAGGTTTCCAGTAAAAAAAAATAGGCTGTTAGTTGGAACCTGAAGAAATTCAGGGAAGTCAGTAAGCAGGATGGAGAAAAGAGAGCATTCTAGGTGTGGGGGGTGGTCAGAGAAAACGCCCAGAAGTGAGAGATGAAATTTGTTGCTCATGGAACAGCTTGGAGGCTAATGTCACTGGATCAAAGAGTATATGTTGTACAGTAAAATGCAAGAAGACTGGAAAGGTAGGACAGAGCTAGATTTTGAAGGGCTTAGAATACCAAATAAAGCATTTTACATTTGATCTTGGAGGCAATCGGGAGCCACTAGTTTATTGAGTGGTGGGGGGGGGGAGGTGTGTGTGTGTGTGTGTGTGTGTGTGTGTGTGTGTGTGTGTGACATAATCAAACTTAAGCTTAGGGAAAATCATTTTAATGGTTTTAATAAACACTAAAGGATCATTACACATAATAATAGCATAGTGCTTCAAAGTTTGCAAAGGACCTGAAGTATGTTAACTGATTTGAAACCCACAACAACCCTGGATAGTAGGTGCTATTATTATTCCCATTTTAGTAGAAGTGATGAAACTGAGGCAGAGTGGTTAAGTGACTTGCTCAGAGTCACTCAGCTACTAATTGT